TTTTAGGTATTAATTTCGGCGGTCGATTCACGAACCAGTAATTATAGTTCAACGAAAGTAACCGACTACTAGTCGCACTTTCCTTTTGTGGTTGATGGGGTTGCCGTTACAGGTTGAGGCATCATAATTGAACCCACCGTCTAATCCTGCGTGCTCGTAAAAGGCGACCAAATGGGTTCGATTAACTGGAGTCTATGCATCTCTTAGCTTCAGCAGTAGAGGTGGATTTGACCCCTGGTGTTGCTTAGTTTGCAGCAGCCGTGGTTAGCCAAAATAATCTTTTCACTTTCGGCGCCATATGACCTAAACGGTGTTGGTCCGCTGTAAAATCAAACAAACTAATCGCACATGATATCTGACAGACACATAACTAATTGACCCTGTGTCAAAGATCAAGTGTCACGGAGAAGTTTCGCATCGTCCAAGTATCGGACCAGTGACCCCTGGTTTAATTATCCGAACCTTTACCATTGTTATAAATATAGAATCTTACGAATGTTGCCTTTTTAATATAAATTTACATTAAATGACCCTAAACAATAGTTATACAGAGAGCCATTTTCAGAAGTTTTAATAATTATAATAATTCACCTTTTTAAGCCATGTTTTACTACTGGAAACTAGAAGCAGCACGCTCTGCAAGCTTATATCTTACTTTCAACTATTACTTTAATAACATATTTGATTTTAGACATTATCAGAAGAAATTGGCATCGTGAGACAATTCACATTTACGTCAAGTTTGCAGAGAATGTCTGTAGTAATTCGTCAACTAGGGGCAGATCACTTTGACATCTATACTAAAGGTGCACCTGAAATGATTGCCTCCCTTTGTGTAACAGATACAGGTACTGATCTATTTTAGAAATTGCGGTTACATTTGGTTTTTATCGAGTCTGGGTTACATAATTTTAAGCAAACACATATAATGTCTCATATCTATTCAAAAATACATTTTGACCTACAAAAGCTTACTTTATCAATATAATCAAAGAAACTTTTATTAAAGCTGGTTGATATTTGTAAGAAAAATGTGCAGCCTGGCTGGAACCAGAACCCCGGACCCTCGGAATACCGTTCCGAGGCTCTTTCTACTGAACTATCCGACACATCATCTCCCCTAAATAGTGAACAGTCACCGTAACTTACTTCCCTGCTATAACGAAACTTGTCCTCGAATTTCTCAAGTTTACAGAGGAATGCTAATTAAACGCTGAGCTATATGCAGTCTATTCAACCTGAATTGGGACTCGAACCCGGGATCCGCGGCATACTGTTTTGCGACTCAACCGACTTGGCTATCCGACCACTTCACATGTTATACCCTAAATAAAGAACAAATCTGAACCATGACATTTGAATTTTATATATTCATAACGATATCACCATTTTTAGTGCCTTCCGATTTTCACGAAGTCCTTAACGGATACACAAGACATGGGTATAGAGTGCTCGCCCTTGCACATAAACCTCTACCATCTAAACTAAAGTATCCGAAACTGCAACGTATACAGAGGTAAGAAATGTGTACAATAAAGTAAATGGTAAATTGGTAAACTCAACCTCCAGTAGAAAAATAATAAAAACATCTCAAAGCAGGAGTAGCCTAGAGTAAATAAAAAAGAAATGTGCAATACTTTAAAATAAGTTTTATAGAATCTACTTCGCCTTTATCTACTTTTTATTTATTTTTTCATTTCCGATTTATATATCGAGTGCTTTTTGAATCTTAAAGAAATCATAAATAATTATGATAAATAATATCATATACAATACATACATGTGCATATGATATTTGAATTATAAAAACCAATACTTTGTTGGTTGTCAATAATTCTTACATTTTTAAAGAGTTTTCATTATGTTTGTACCTCATAGGATTTTATCGTCCTTAGTGATTTACTCTGCATGCACTTATTATCTAAGGCTTGGTATGGGCTCCCTTAAAACAGCTCATTAATTAAGTAAATAAATGTTTTGTAGAAAGATTATATAAATCATATAAGATTATACTATATACTTATTTTATTGCGTTAATGTAATTTTAGATGTTATAAATCGTATGTTATATATTTTTCAATTAACTCATGAAAACATTTATTAAATAACTCTAGACATGCTTATGTTTTTTCAGAGAACAGGTTGAAAGAGGTCTTACATTTCTTGGATTAATTGTGATGGAGAATAGACTTAAACCTCAAACAACCCCGATTATCCTAGGTCTCAAAGAATCAAACATTCGACCTATAATGGTAACAGGTCCGTAGTCCTTATTCACATACGACAACGTTAACACAAATGAGCCACGTCATGACAAAATTAACATAGTGCGTTCGCGACCAGCATGGATCCAGACCAGCCTGCGCATCCTTACAGTCTGATCAGGATCCATGCTGTTCGCTTACCTACCCTATTGCAAGTAGGGAAACTAATACCGAACAGCATGGATCTTGATTAGACTGTGCGGATGCGCAGGCTGGTCTGGATCCATGCTGGTCGCTAACGCTCTATGTTGGTTTTGTCATGACGCGGTTCAAATGTCCTTTGCGTTAAGAAACATGTTCTTTTCTAAAGCGTTACATTAAAGGCACATTATGCATCAGGAAAGATTATTTCATTCTTAAAGGTTCATTATGCATTAAAGTCCATATTTTTTAATTCTTGAGAAATGTCAAATATGTTTAATAATGTTTCAAATTTGAAATTACAGCATGTTGTATGTTTAAATACTGAAGAAACTAGCACTGGACGTGTAGTAATTTGTCGTAAAATATGTGTTATATAACATGTAGAAAATGATTTGAGAGCATCTTGGCATGCTTATCTCCTTAAGAAAGCAGCGCTAAATTTGAATAATTTTTCATAGAATTAGCAAAATGTAAACAAAGAAGTATTTTGACTTCTAACAACAAACCTTATCACTATTAACTTGCTGTTTGCCAGAAAGCAACAGAAGCAAAAGATAGTTCAAGTAATTGGCAAATGACTTACTACCTGTTGAAAAATAAATAAACGAAAAACAGGACACCAAAAAAATAAAGAAAAATCTTTTGAGAACTAAAAATAAATCATTTATTTGACGTAAAAGGCGTAATGGGCCTTTAAATATACAATTTTATTGAAAAATACTTATTTTTTTCAGTAAGAAATATTTATCTTTTTATAAATGAAAACATATAGACAGATAAACAGACAAACAGACAAATTGTAATCAAACAAGGCTTATAAGCCCACCATGTCATAATGAAAGCATATTTACAGGGTAACGAACAGTATAATTATGTTAATGTATAAATCATTACCACAATACAACTATGACTTTACAGGAGAAGGTCATAATGAAAACTTATTCGTAAGAACGTAGTAATATGAAAATATTTATTTATGTTTTGTGTTTCACTCACGTTCTCAATTTCTGTTAAAATGATTTTATTATTTACAAGTCCTCAATTATGGTAATTGTTAAGTTACCCGAATGAAAATTATATAGCTTACCAATATCTAACTATGAAGTAGTGTCACAACAAACATAATTAATGTTCATTACATAATTTAGTATAGTATATTATATTATATTGTATTGTATTGTATTGTATTTTGTATTGTATTGTATCGTATCGTATCGTATCGTATCGTATCGTATCGCATCGCATTCTATCGTATCGAATCGTATCGTATCATCTATAGAATCATATCGTATCGTATCATATAATTATCATATTAAATGTCATATCATACAGTATCGGTTTATGTATCATTTTATATCATACCATATATCATATCATAATTCATTTCATGTCATATCATATTATATCATATCATATATGATATTATATCATACCATATATCATATTATATCATATCATATCGTATTATATTAATACTTAAAACAGTCTTACCGAAACGAAACTGAAAGACTATTAGTATGGTATTCGAATGTATAAATTATTAGTTATTTAACAGGTAGACATGTGTATGAGACATATATTAACATATTTGTTATAAAATATATAAAAAAATGCAAACGGTATCAAAACATGTACACTTCTTATTATGATGTTTATTACAATAATTGTGTGATAATATATACTATACATACTTTTGTTACAAATGTACAAATGAGTACATACCGTCAATAACAATATTTCATATATTTATATTTATGAGTTTATTCATAAAAAAAATAGAAAAAAGAACATCCATTGCATTCCAGTTAAAACATAGTATTTTATTAAATATTTTCCTTTGTTTGTTTTTTCATTTAACTTTGTGGTTATTGATATTATTTAAACCATCTTTGGTGGCATTTTTATAACTTTTCGTCCGGCATTTTCTTTGTCGGTCTATTGGGACTTGTATTAACCGGTGTGTGCCTTTCAGGAGACAATATGTTGACTGCGTTAAGTGTTGCTCGGGAATGTGGTTTTGTTAAACCAACTGAACTTATCGTACTCGTGCAGGCGTTTCCCGTGCAAACTGACCAGTATGGTAACGAGGTATCTGCCCCGCACGTGGAATATGTCTATACTGAGACACAAGAAGAGCAGGAAGTATTATCGAAAGAAAAAAGTCAAACGTTCCAAGGAAGTCAGGTAGATCTACTTAATATGTTTTTTTATGTATGATAAATACATACACAATGTTTTAAATTTGTTTAGTGCGTCCGTGTATATAGATAATATTTACTTTGTAATTGTCCAATGAAAAAAGATGTTACAATGTACAGAGTTCTCAATTCTCATTAGCTATCACTTTATGTTCCGTGTAATAATGTTAGAATGGATTTACTGTCGATTGTTTGGTTCATTCCTATTCAAATACATGTATAAGTCAATTCTAATGTCATTAAGTTAAATAATTCAGTGTGTTTATATAGTTAAATAAAAAAATGTCCGTCGCTGAAAATATAAATAGATTATGTAAGAGATGAAAATAACATTTCTATTTGTTTCTGTCTATTTGTTTGAATAGAATGGTAAATCTTTAGATGTAGAAGTAGGCAAGAAAGAGCGGTATCATTTCGCGGTGACTGGGAAATCATGGTCTGTACTTAGACAGTACTATCCCGATCTAATACAGAAGGTAACTTGTTCACTTTCTTACAAATAACCCGTAAATGTGTGTATCTTATTTAATATATATTTTTTTATAAAAAAATATATAAAAAGTGGTAAAATAATTGGTATCCTTCAGAAAATGTACATTTGGAGTTAGATCAACAGCACAAAATAGGTAATTGAAATGTATATTTCCTATTTGACGGGTGCACATGTGTGAAATCATCGCTAAGCCAAACAAATATTTGGTAAGGGGATAATGATGAATGGTTATATCTTTATTGAAAGAAATACAAATCCACCTAAATGTGTAGCCCGGAAAGGATTAATGTACTATTTTTTGATGTTCCATCTGTTCTAGATTGTAGTTCGAGGGACAATATTCGCCAGAATGTCACCTGATCAGAAGGCTCAGCTTGTTGAACAGTTACAAGATTTAGGGTAAAGTTTACTTATACAGACATTTTAATTGCGACTTACTTGAGCTATATGATACAAGTCTTAACTCTGTTATTTTATATAATAAAAGTAAATTGCTTCACTAAAACAATGTGAACGTGCCTTCTTTGTACTTTTAGGAATTTCTTTATCAATGATAAAAAAACCTGGATTCTTCCAAATATTAAGTTAACTGTACCTTATGAAAATGACAAAAAGCTTTATAAAAAAACAAACAAACAAGCAAACAAAAAAAACCCAGAAATATAAAGGATTGAATGAGCAATTTTCAGTGAACGGTAACCCTTAATCTGCTGAGATCAAAAGTGATTAGCTTTTGCCATTAGGATATAGCCGAATCAACCTGCATATCCGTTTCTGTAGAATCTGGACACATCCGTTCATGTTACCAGACTCGTCACCGTTTGTTCCTCAATGTTATTTTTGTATCATGTAACAGAAATCCTTAAGAAATTGAATGCTCCAAAGAAAGGCAAATCCATCATCCATTAAATCAACAAGTAAATGGGTAAATAAATGTTTATTGTTTACATGGTGTCATCTATATTCAGATATTACGTAGGAATGTGTGGAGACGGGGCCAATGATTGTGGTGCGTTGAAGACAGCCCACGCTGGAATCTCTCTGTCTGAAGCGGAGGCGTCTGTTGCTTCACCTTTCACATCTAAAACACCAGACATTTCATGTGTTCCCACTACAATAAGGTAAGCAAATCAATGAGTTTTTATTAAGACAATGCATTTTAAACAAATATCAAAGCCTTTCTCGAATCAATCTTCATAATTTTAAAAAAGATTCGTTCTCAGATGCCAAGGTATTGTATCAAGTAAAAGTCAAAAACAAATATCACTCTTTTAAGTTATTTCAACATTTTGAATACCTTATTAACATTATGTTTGATGAGTCTCAAATTTATTGCATAAAACAATATAGCCATGGTCCGAGACCACCTGATTTTGGCAAGGACCACCTAATTTTAAAAGCCACTGGTCCGTCGGACCACTTGAATTTTCTGGTTGGTGCAAGTATGGCGATTTGGACAAAAAACATGTTATAAACCTTTTGTTCAAAATCATTTGTCCCATGTTCATGTTTATGGCTCATTAATATCTGATTAGTTAAAGAAGTTTTTAAGTCATCGATAATTTTGATATTGTTTGGGATATCGGATGAACTAAAATTTCAAATACTTTAATCATGGCAGCAAAAGAAAGGAAATGGAAAAACTAATTCTTTGTTTCTTATCTTTTATAACGATAAGAGATCCATTGTTTCCAGGGTAAAAATACTTTAAAAGGTAAAAAGAAATCAATGTCAAAATGAAATAAAAACCAACAAGCAACAGGGAGGTAAAAATTCTGTATTCAGAATAAATATTTGAGAAAAATAAGCTAAACTATAATTATATATAATGTTGGTAATTTTTATCCTTTAGATATTTCCTTGTTTTCAAAAACAAGAATAAGATAATTTATCACATAAACCGCGACGCAGGAGTGTAATAACGCCATTTAATAAAAACGGTATTACACTAGTGTAATAACGTGACGTCATTTGCGCTATATAGAAATATAGCGTGAAAGTCGCTAATGTTAGCGTTACACTATGGGTGCGTCATTGAAAAATTACTCATTTTAACAGTTTAACGTTCTTATATTATATATGTGATAAATAGAATATTATATTCGTGTAGATTCAATACTAAATTTATTGAACTCGTTGAATAAAACAAATTATGCTCGCCAGACGCTCGCATAATATGATTTTATTCAACTCGTTCAATAAATTTAGTATTTAACTACACTCTTTTGATATCCTCTATATATTCGATCTAGTTTTACTAAAAATGTTTATTTATAAAAGATAATTATCATGATTATAAGATGTACCATGTATCAGCAATGGATATTTGAATAACAGTAAGAAAATATCAGACACAAATGGTTTCACTATTCCCTAACTAGTGTTGAGGGAGAAATTACGGAAGCTTATCAGGGCCTCCACTTATCTAAAAGTTTAACGTCATATTAACTTGTTTCTTCTTGTTTTGACCAAGAACATTCCTTGAAGACGTTATGATTAATACGTAATACATAGAAGTATGCGAGTAACGTCTTTGCGTCTTAATCAATATTTCAGCAAATTCGTGTAATCAAGAAGTTTCGACAGGATTTTTGTCGAAGAGACAAAAGCTTCAAGCATATCGAGAAAAATTCAGTTGCAATGCCTAAAAGCTTCTCATCTTTGTCCATAAATTTTATTGAGAAATGCAAAAACATCTTATCAATGCGAATAAAAATAAGTCGACTTAGCGCAAAACATCTCACCAACTGTTGACCCTGATACGCTACCGTAGTTTTATTTAAATGTTAATAATATATCTTTAATAAATTGTCAACAATTTTCAGCATATTTTTTTCTAAATTTGCAGTAAAATACGATAATAATAACAATTGACCACCTTAGGTCTTGAAGGACCACCTAAATTTCAAATCTAGTGGTCCGGCATACCACCTGCTTAAAAAGTTAGTGTCGAGGCCTGATAGCCTTTACAAATGTTGACAAAACAATACTTTATATAATTCATAATGCTGTCAACTATGTTTCACATACAAGCAGCAGTAAAATACTACATAATGTTGCCTTAAATTACTGTTTGTCACCGCAATTCATTTTCAGCCTTAACCCCTTTTTGTAAAGGCTGTGACTAAAAAAAGGATTGGAGCACCACACTAAATACCGTATTCCGGTATATACCGGACAAGGCGCTTGAATGATAAAATGCTAAAATCTTGTCTTTTTACCCAACGGAATGAACTTTAACAGGTCTAATTCATCTTTTCACACCGAATCAAGTACGATAATCAAGGAAAAATGTAAAATTCGGCGAAAAAAACGATATTTGTCTATTTTGTGATCATGATTTCTGCAAGCGTCTAGAGGTACTGCTCCAATCCTGTATTGAGCTAAATCCTTTTGTAAACACCTTGACTTCCGGTAAATAAACAGACTTTTTGCCATCTATTGCCGGTATTTGCCGGACTGATAATTCATAAGCTATGTCATAACAAAATATCAGATATTGATAATAAACATGATGTATATATAAATAAAATATGTTTTACCAAGTTGACCAAGACTGATAGTCTTTTAAAGTATGCTACTTACCATAGTATTTCTTATTTCTTTACGCGGTAACAGACCAAAATTCTGTAAATATAATTCACTTACCTTACTTTATCTCAGAATGCGTCTATTTTTTGAATTACCATGTTAGATATAAGTTCAGATGTGATCATTTTATATGACGTTTCCAATGACGTTATTAATAATTATTGTACAATATAACAATTTCAGAGAGGGGCGTGCAGCGTTGATGACAAGTTTTGGTATATTTAAGTACATGGCATGTTACAGTCTCACACAGTTTACATCTGTACTGATTCTGTACTGGGTATGTATAGGAAACTTAATACTACATATTGTCTACATTTTTATATTTTTGTACACTTATCTACATTTACAATTTGTTTTACAGGTTTTCATTGAACAAATAACAAAAAAACAAAAACAACGATTTTTTAACCAGGAATAAAAATGTTTTGGGCTTTCTTTAGGGATTTTGTTTTTCTCTATTTGATTCTATCTATGTTTACAGAATAATCTCACAAAGTAATGCTCTTAAATGTCAAACAGTATGTCTAACAGTATCACAAACATTTTCGGTCCTCTCTATATATCAGGTCAACCAGTGACTATGTATTATCAGGCTATAAATTTTCTCATCTTTATTTTGTGTTATCCTGTTTTCTTAGTTAATCAGTGGGTTAAACTGAATTACAGATATTTGTTTACACTGATAAGTGCATGTTTCTAAGAAAAGACGACAACCAAGATTAGCAGCGATATCCAAACGACGTATATCCGGCATAGGTAATAAAGATGTTAAAACTTTCTGCTGATAATGACCCTCAAATCAATAATTTCCTTCGGGCTATTATCGCAAATTGGCGAGCAGGTAACCACGTTAAAATGAGATAGCCAGCTAGTTTTCATAAAACTGCAAAGGGCATTTAAAATAATGTAAAGTTATAATGTTTTCTTCTTATTCTTTTGCCTTCCTAGGTTGGTGTCAACATCACAGACTTTCAGTTTCTGTATATAGACTTGTTTCTCTTAACCACACTGAGTATTTCATGTAAGTTGTTTTCCTTCTTATCTAGCTCATCTATCATTTCAACAAAATGAATTTCAGGTTCACAACTTTAAACAATATGAGCATTTTCAAACATATTAATACATGTGTACCAAATCAAACTGTAATATGAAATTGCCTTTCCCGCCAAGTGTAGCAACATTCAGGCTCTAAAAGAAATTCCGAAAATTTCGCTACTTGGACTAAAGTTTTTCATTTATAATACCAAAAAAAACAACAACAACAAAAAAAAAACTTTTGCTTAATAAAATGTTAGGATAATCATCCAAACAACATTCATTTATAACCCACATAACTTCTGCTATTTTTAGTCGGCTATACAGCAGCGTACCAGAAAGTTCATCCACAGCCTCCGTTGGTCAGTTTACTCTGTCTGTCTCCGGTTTTCTCTCTAGTTTTACAGATGTTGATCATGGTGGCCGTGCAGGTCTTCTTTTTCTTCTATATCAAAGAGGCAGAATGGTAAATACAATATGTTAATACATGTCCGTTTTCATCAATATGCAACTTACTCAAATAATTAAATTACAGCATGTGATATGAGAAATATGTACGTGAAAATATCTATAATTATTAATGTAGTGATGCTTATCAGTATAAACAAGTATGAACATGTCATTGCTTGTTTGTCTTTTTTCCAATTGATGTCTTTGGTCATTTCTAGACAGTCTGTCCACTTCTCCTGGATAACTAACCAGTAACCAATTTCGTCGCAAGTGACCGAGAACTAATCTAACATGCTTTATGAATTATCGGTGAGAGACGAATGACTACTAGTGATCAATGGTCACGTTGAAATTTCACCTCGCTCGAGAATGGAATGAAAGAACTCTGGACTACAAATCCAATGCTTTCGCTATTGAGCTAAAAGCTCGGAAATATCAATGACCTACTAATTGTTTCTAGAGTCTGGTCTAAAGGACAACCGGGTAAACTGTGACAGTCATATGGCAACATTCCACACATGTATTGATGTAAAAAAGGCCTTTGTGTCTATGATAATTTGCTTTTGTTTTCAACCTTCACTCATAATTTAGAAGCAACACCTTGCGACGTATACCCCAATATAACCATTTGATTAACATTGATGCACTTCAACATGTATTTCAAATATGAACTAATATATGTCAGGTTTACACCATGGGTAGATGACCCCGAGGACGACTACGATTATCAAAGTTACGAGAATTCCGCTGTGTTTTATAGTTCCGCCTACCAGTATATCATCCTAGCAATTATCTTCTCGAAAGGAAAACCATATAGGCAACCTATATATTCTAATAGTAAGTATGAATTCACACACGAAAAAACTGTTAATCGTGTAATAGGTTATTTAATGATTGAAGTTCAGATTAATTCTATTGGTAGATTATAGTTTTTTACCTTTGATCTGCTGATTTCTTTTTTATAAATAAACGAACTTGTTTAGCTTCATTTATTTTGAAAGTTTTCATAAACATTCTAAGTTGATCCGCGAACAACATTAAGACTTGCCAGATTGCACCGAGATATAGGCATGCATCAGAACTTATGGTACGAAGTAATATGCTTCGACTTAAAGTTTTTATGTTGTTACTCATTATTTTAATTGATTAAAATATGTTGCTCTTACTAAATTTGCGATGATTTATATAAAATACTTAGTTTAATAAGACATCCACACAGCAGCAATTAAGTATCACAAGTTACTTAAATATCTATTTGTACTATGTCAAATCATCGTAAGAACTTTTTAAGGGCCATCATACAATTTTAAGATAAACGTATGCCATGCTTTAAATTCTGTTTATATTTCCTTGTTTCAGTGTACTTTTTATTAAACCTTCTCGTCTGCTTTGGTATAACTGTCTGGTTGAATATTTACCCGACTGACGGAGTGGCGGAATTTTTTGAGGTTTTTTTATATTATATATTTCTTCGAAACGTTTTGAGCATTTGTATAAGAAAGCCATGAATATTAGTACATGCCATTGATAACTTTCATATAGTCCATGATATAAAATGGCGAGTTTACATTAACATAATTTGCAAAGGAACGTTGGAAAATATATATTTCAAATAAACCTTTAATCTAAATTTAATTATCTAAAAATTAAAATCATGTTATTATTCTACATGAACTTTGAAGTTGGTAAATTATTTACATTGTATGTTCCTCAATGTACAAAGTATGATTTCAATGACGTTTCTTCCGGTTTCTTTGATATTCTTAACGAACTCACTTAAATAATGTAATGGATTGGTACCAATTTGCGTTTTGAACTATTCATTTCTAACATTTAAGCTCAGGGGTTGTAATATTAACACTGGACAATCCAGAATATAGTGTCAAGGACTGACTGCATGGTTGTAATGACCAAACAGTGCCCATATTGCACTTTAGCGTGCATGTGAATAATAAAATATGTAATTTATATTTCAGATAGAAGTTATACCCAGTATACCATACAGATTCATCTTTCTGGGTGCTGCTGTAGCTAATCTTATAGTTTGTTTGTTGTTAGAGGTAAGACGTCAATAACTAATACTAGTAGTACTTTTGTTATAAATGCGTCCTTTTACATGTATCCCCTTTAACCGACTGGCCGACCGCAACCGTATTAACCTATGTGACCAGTGGAGTCCATGTTAATCCGGCACATATGTCCCGTTTGATCATGGTCTGCACTGTTTGCTATTCAGTATTTAAATATTTCTGAAATCTTCTTTAAATGGTGAATGTTCTCTTCCAGATTAAAGACAGAAGGTCAGTTATTACATTTAGCGTGGTGAGGGAGTAATACGTGTAGCTTATATATTTGTTTCAATGTTGACCTTCAACTATCTTAAATCAAATGATTTTAAATTCATGCGCAGTAGTATTTGCATATCGGGCTTGAATAATAAAAGAAAACATGAAACATTTAAATCAGTTATTAGACCAAGTACACTAAGACTAGCTTGTTTCGCATTTACACCAAGTTGGTGATTGAGATCGAAATTACGTTTAACATGGTTATGATACGCAATAGGTAACCGTTTAGAGGACTTAACAAATCTGTGCTATATATTTTCAATTGTTTTGACATTAAATGCATTATAATGAATATACGAATTTGACAAATGCACGAGACCATTTAGGATGGCTAAGATGTACCTGAAAATACAGTAAACTCCGCTTATAGCGAACTCACTAGGACATTCAAAACCTGTTCCTTATATTTGGAGTTCCTTGTATCAAGAGTTTTTATAGCGAACACATTTACATATAACGAACTGATTGTTTACCATTGTCCGCCATTTTTGAAGAGCATTTGATTAAGAAAAAGAAATATTAGTCATTTATTTATATTTTAAAACGCGTACTTTTTGGAATTTGAAAATCATTGCTATTTCAGTTTTAGTTTTACTCCCTATCTCAATTTCACATAAAATATAAGATTTTGTTTCTAAACTCTTTTCGTTTTCTTTCCATGATTGAGAATAAACAAGCTTTTCGATCTTTCCTTCCTTTTATATTGAATATCTTCTATTATAATTTAAGGATGACTTTTACGAATGTAAGATATAGATTTCTTTTCATTTAAATCAAACGTACTTTGCAGTTTACAATGGATCATGCTTACAAGCATGCATGATTATGTTGAAAACCGATTATAAATTATTATCATTATTTTACTCGAGCAAAACTATTAAAGAAAAAAAAATAACCGTTTTACCTTGGTGAAAAGAGGTCATGCTAAAAATATCCTAAATAGAAAACTATACAAATTCATTTAAATAGATGTATTGAAGTACATGCACATACAACGATAAACGGTACATTCGCCCGAGTTTTCATCCGTGCGAATGAAAACGAAAGTTGAAAATGCGGGATCTATTTACGAATAGCCAATATTTTGGAGTTCGTAAGTGTAATTTTCTGTACTATTAACTAAATTGGGACTAAGAAATGAGTTCCTTATAAGCGATTATTCCTTATAACCATGTCGTTTTAACCATATATTTTCATATTAAATAAAGAAGGGCAAAATTCGGGCCAAAATAAATTGTTCCCTATAACCGGAAGTTCGCTATAACCGTGTTCGCTATAAGTGAAGTTTACTGTAATATAAAAACACAATCAAAAGCATGAAAAACCGTTCCATGTTTTATTTCTTTTTCTCATGTTCTTTCAGACGTTTGTTCTAGATAGTCGTTTTGTGACAATTACGCTACAGAATAAGGTAGACGCTTGTTTGCCTGGTGCAAAACCCGGGTAAGGTTTTGTAAAATTTATCAACACAAAATAATGATTTAACATTATAGTGCCATACAGTATTGTTAAAGCCGTTTACTATTTATTGGTTAGTTACACGGGTATAGCCGGCTAAGTGAACCGACTGCAGATACATATCAGAAAAAAAGGACAAAAAAGACACTTTGAAATATTTTTTTTATTTCAAAAACAATAGTAGAAGAGTAATGGTTAAGGTCACCGACTAACTTGTCACTTACCACTGTAGGTGAGATTGTCAGCAATGTATCAGATTATTTTTAATGAGGAAATTTTTCAGACAACTAACAAAATGTCAGTGGTTTTACACAGATAGCCACATGGGGTTCCTAACGACATATTAAGCTTGACAATCGCTAGACGGCTATGTGATTTCAAAGTCTGACGAAAATAGTACTAAAAAGATATTTAAGTATACAGTTAAGCATGTAGGTTGCTGTTTACTTATCTAAACAAGCTCGGTATTTAAGAGTTATACAAACTAATATCAATGCAAATTTCCAAACCTTAGATTGGCTACCTAAGGTTGTACGCAGCAAATATATTGAGACAAGTAAACTGATACTCAATGTCATTCCTCATTGTTGATCTTGGTTTTCGTACTTTACACTTGCAAAGGTTTTACGGTGTGAAGATTTAATTGCAAACTATTTATCATGATAATTAGAAGTTTCGAGAAATTTCATTTTATTTATGCTGATACCATATGCTTAAGAAATATTAATGGTTTGTAATTGCTCTTACATTATAATTAGGTATGAGCCCCTAGAAGAGGAAATGCAAAGGGACTCGTCTTGGCCTCAGGTGAAGTCGGAAGATCTTGCCGGAACATTCCAACGTTTAGACAGTGCATTCCAAGCAGCTTCAAAGACATCTCTAGTTTCACCTGATAACATATCATTGTCGGCTAGTGAAGATGGAAGTGTTGCCTCACATGGTAAGAATAAGTAATTAAAAGAAACATCTATAAAGTCATATTTTTATAAAAAAAAAACTGTAGAACTTCAATAATGGTTTATGTCTTATTTTGAATTTTGTTCAAATAATCTTACTTTTTTCAAACATTATGGAAATCTTGAAAAATACATTGATGTATCGAAGATATGAACTATTTATTGTAAACTTATAAATAAAATATTGAGAAATATCGATGAAATAAAATGAAAATTTTCATTTTTCCGCATTTTCACAGCATCGATTTATTCTTCACTGTATTGAAACATATTTTCCATATGTTCACTGTTATCTTGCCGGACTAATTTTTTCTAAATTCAGACAATACACACAATTAGCGGGGAACGCCTTTCGAATGTATATGGCAGGTCATAAATGTGTATAATAAAACAGGAAATTCAAGATTTTCTATCAATTCGGGATTTATTTTCATCTCGTGATACATGTATGAACTTATCATATATATCACACAGTGCTTCCGTCTCTGGAAATACTTATTTTCATACCACTCGATGAATATAAATCCCGTAGTTAAAGGATAAAAAATAACCTCGATATATTTACGCTTACCAGTTACTAAAATTACAATGTATAAAGAACCTGAATTGATAAAGAACTTATTTTTATTTCAACAGGAGCAGGCGATAAATCTTACAGTGTGGTATCACCAAATGACGTACAATTTAATTCTAAAAGTTATTCAAACAAAGCGTTTGAGATGGATGAAACTGATAAACAAGATGACCAGTTCATTCGTGTGAAATTTTGATGCCAGTGACCGTTCATTTTACCATAATTTGGCAATAAAATATAAAAAAGATCAGGTGGCTTCATACAATATATGTCTCATTAGGGAGTAGAGGCAGCAAAGTGACATTTAAATGTAAAATAACAAGGAAAATGTCACCAATCTATCCAATATCTGCTGTGACAATTAAAGGGCAGATTAAATACGTGTTTATATATTTGTATATAAATGGTACATATTCAGCATATAATATCGATCAAGACAAAAAAGTAATATTATATATCAACAAAATCTCTTGTAAAGGTGAAACAAATATATAATAACATAGAGCAGTTTGATGGTTTGTCTCCAGATTTATGCTAATTTTCATTATTTTTTAGAATTTATTAAACAGTAAAATAGTTTAAAGTGATCAAGAACAAACAATAATAAAGTAATCAACCCATTGCAAACGACACTAAAATCTACAAATATTATCAAAACTAGATCAGAATAAGAAAAATAGCACTTACTGATAGTAATAGTCACGCAGTAAAAATAAAGTGATTAACACTGCAAAAAATCAGTCATTAATTGCATACATCAAGGTAATGATTGCTTGGATAGTGAATAGTTTAACTTGTCTTTAAATCTTAGTACAATTTTCTCACTGTTGATTTTCTTGAAATAGTTTGGCTGATCTGGGGATGCAGCTTTAATAGTTACGCTTTTGCCATGGTGTGTCTTTGATATTTATCAAACAAAACCAGATACATGTTTTTCGTAGGATAATAAGAGTAATTTGAGCGATTACTTTATGTTATATTTCATAAAATGTAATATACACGGATAGGTCTTACAATTATGAGATAACTCTTTCTTTTTTAAATTCTTTCTCTGACTGTATGAACAGATATAGATCTACCTGTGTGTCTAAATACATTATACCTATATTAACATTATCATGTTTAGTGCTAGGCGGCATGTACTGTCCATGGACAGGCTCAATTAAACAGACCCTGCAACGTAACCAATTTAGTTTGTTTGGGGCAATGTTAGAGTTATCTATTCTGTATCAGATTAGATACTTTAGTATGATTTTTATAATGGTGAATTTTATATATACACTTTAAACAAGAATTGGAAAAATCTCTATGTATATATTAATTTTGTTTGATATTTGAATACATAATAATCATTATGCTTTACTTTAAATGACAATAAGATTGTAAAATAATTTTATACAAAAATCTTTAACATCATCTTTATTAACACATGTATATAGTTTAAAAGAATATGTTTTAACCGAATGAAATCTTATTTATTCCTTTAATCAATTTTAAATAAATTTCATGTTAAATAATTTTTCTTTTTATGTATTTTGCTGAATATTTGTCTTATCAATATGGTCCCTATTGTGGAGTATTCTATTTTTGATATTTTATCTATTCACATATTTTTAAAAAATACAAATATACAGATATACTTGTTTTCGTTATATTTTATTGCCCATGCCTAATTACTTGAAAGTTAGATACTCTCATTTTTTGTACCAACAAATGGAAATGATGGGAAAAATGTCTTTATTGTTAAGGTGACACCATCAATAAATCATTGGTTATGGTCCCTATCAACTGTAGAGAACACGGATGACATTCAAATTGTACCTGCCAGCCTTCTGCAGATGAAACGTGAATAATAATCTTCACACAAATACAATGCATATCCAATCACAAAAATGAAGAATCTTGAAATTTCTCGAAAGCGACGAAAATGGTTAAATATGCTAAAATGAAATAAAAATCAAAACGGAAGTTTAAATAAGTCTTGTTATTTATTGTAACCTGTATGCAAAACGTCACAGCTAATGCGTATGACGTCATCAATAATTGTATTTGAAGATCGCAGCAACGATACTGTGATGTAAACCGTATATCAGCCAATCGTATCTTCAGGTATGTTAATCTCGTATACAAAAAAATTCAAACTCAAGGTTTTCATAAAAAATAAAGTGTCACCAGTAAATGAAGGATTCCGTGTTTAATATTCTGCTCATTGTCCAGCAAGGACTTAATAAGGTACACAAACATGAATTAAAAGAAGCACTGTGGTCACATCCGTATTAACGATAACTTATAAGTTATAACTCACTTATAACACCGCATTAATCACATAACAAAACTGATCGTTGTTTGATATAACAAAAAAGGGTAATGAAATTATAAAATATTTCACTACCAAATGATAGTAAGAGAAGAAAAAAAAATAGTGCTTCCCATGTCCTTTTTGCTCGATGAACAATTTATTTATGAATCAATTCTCTCTCAAAATGTCACATATTTTATTCACATAATTAATATATAATAAAAATACTGAAAAACACACAACGATTTCCTCCTTTATGGTACACTTCTGTTACAAACATAAAATCAACACGAGTGGCTAAAAGATTCCAAATGTTTTGTAAACATTAATTTCCTAAACCACAGTTAAAAATGTAGTGTACAAAGATATATCAACTTATATGAGGTGTATATTAATTATTACGTTGACACGTTAAGTGTTAAGTATATTGTCAAAACAGCGGAAAATTATAGATGTAACTTAATAAACATCCATTTATCATATGAGGAGTTTTATGCAAGTTACTAATTGATATATTTATCATGTATATCCTTATTCTAGCGTCGGCAACTTTCCAAAAAGTTTCAGTTTTATCGTTATTGTTACAATTTTTCTCCAGTCTGGCATATCTAATAGAAAATAAATCAGATTTAAAAAAAAGCGTTAAAGGAGCTTCACTGAGGTCCAAAAGACTAAGAACATGAAATTTGAACTACTTAATACATCAGCTGCGGCACATAAAACAGAAATACATATCAATTTCTAAAGATAATAAACAAATATAACAAAAACATCAATGAAAATCGGTGTTTTGTGCTATTCTTCTCCCGATTTGAATGAAACGCGGTTGAGCGCTTTTAAAGTTTGGGTTATTTTTTACATCTGGCCAAATGGAGTGATCAAATTATCTAAAATTTCGCAAGTGATTGGTCTAGATCTACATCAAGACGATCGTTAATCCCAGTCCCGTCATGTAACATAGTTGAGTCCCTTTAATAGCGAAACGTTAAGTCTTTTATCGATCATCTTGAAAGATCGTCAGCACTACTTACAAATATGACATATCCATAAATCCATACACCGCAACATTAAAATTTCGTGTTTTGTTCCCCTCCAGAATATGTAAGAGGCAACTTTCCTCGTGAAATATCATTATAAAAAACTGGCATGTACGTGTTTTGTTGTTATTCCATAATATGATGCGAGAGCAAAACTGGGCACCGTAACAACAACACACACATGTTGTTTTAAAACAGTTTAAGAAAAACATTATTTGATTGATCCTAGTATAGATTTTTTCTCTATATTGTTAATTATGTCATAGAACGCAAGTTTAGATTGAGAATTATTAACAATAATATCACCAATACCATGGCAACGAATAAAATAGGTGACAGCAGACGAATGATCTGATAAAGAAAAACGTCAAAGCCATCATTTGCGACACCGGTATTAGTTGTTGTTGTTGTAAATGTGCTTATATCCATTCCAGCTAATTTTAAATTAAGATGTTTACACATAACATAATTACACCTTCACAACCATTGTACTGTGCGTTTACATCAATATCATAGCCATTCAAGTACATAAATCCAACTTTTACTAAAATAATTTCGTGACAATCCGAATCTGAACAAAAGTTTATCCGTCCTTTCTTCCTTAGAATTTTTAATCAAGGCATACTGTAGTGTCTTTTTTTATTTTTTAATTCATATTTTAACAATTTGGATAAAGTTATTATTATAACTTAATATTGTATATTTAAATATATACAGACATGCGTGAAGAAAATCATTTTATTATTAAATAATGAAGTGAAGAGTGTTTACGTACATTGCTTTTTACTTAAATGTGTTCTGTTCTTTACTATAACTTTGATGAATGAAATATTTTTAGTATTCTAAGTGACAAATTGGTATTATATTACGGGATTGTCTTACTTAATTATCATAAGTTGTATTTTACATTGTTTTAATAGTCGAACACCAAAACACTATTAATTTAGTGCATTTGTGGTTGACTTTTTGAGTAATATATTACAAAATGTGTTTTATATCTGACGAAAAAAAGCAGATATAGTTATACAAACTGAATATGAACGTTGCAAACCAAAACACGAAAAGGAGTAACCTGGCACTTACTTTTTACTAAAAAGATAAGTCCATAACTTATGTCAAAGTTACACCCGTTTCTAATTGCATCGCATCTTCAATAAAATCACAATTCCTTTAAACGTGTTTGAATATTTGGCTTCAGTCAGCATCATCCAATAAGTAAAATCTGTACTCATGTAAAATTGTCTCCTATTGAAGTAAGCTAAAGGCGTCCATGACAAAGCTATTTTGACAAAAACTAACTTTATCTCGCTCATGACAATATTATTCATCCATTATCTTAACCTTATCTATACACATAGTTGACAATTCATAATTCCCCCGGAAAGCTACCATTTTGTGAGATTTTAGACCTTAAGAGATATTGCTTATCAAATGGAAAAAATTATCTTAACAGCTGTCCGATTCAATTTGATACTTGAATCAATTGAGTCAAGATATATATGTGTCAAAATCTATCTTCTTTTATATAAAATAATGCTCTATTCTCTGGAATAGTTTTTTTTAGGAAATGCTGAATAATAGGCCCTATTGTGATAAAAAATGTTGGAAGCTTATGAATGACTTTTGGCCTTTTTAGCTCGACTTTTTTTTTTTTTTAAAAAAAAAATAAGTAGAGGTATTGTTATAGTCGGGTCGGCGTTGCCGTTGCCGTCCGCAAACTTGTACCTGGATCATAACTTTTTTATTTCTTGGTGTATTGTCTTCATACTTGGCCACAACAACCCTTAGGACAAGACCTTTCAGTAGACCACACTAACCTTGACCTTCATTCATAAATGACCTTGACCTTCAAGGTTAAAAGTCCAACTTTTGCTTGTTCATGCTGTTATTGGCTGTAACATTGTTATTTTTGAATGGATTGTCTTCAAACTTGAACATAATAATCTTCAAGGATATCCCTTAAAAATAACCAGCCAGACCTTGACCTTCACTCATAAATGACCTTGACTTTGAAGGTCAAAATATTGAAATTTTCATTTTTTTTGGCTATTATTGGCTGTAACTTTGTTATTTTTGAATGGATTGTCTTCAAACTTGAACATAATTATCTTTAGGGATATCCCTTAAAAATGACTAGACAGACCTTGACCTTCACTCATAAATGACCTTGACTTTGAAGGTCAAATTATTGAAATATTCATTTTTGGCCGGGTTGCACTGGTGCAAATCCGGGTTATAGTATGGTGAATGTCGGGCGGCGGGCGGTCGGTCGGGCGGCGGTCGGTCGGGGGCGGGGAAAATATTTTCGTAACAGTTTTCTCAGCAACTACTTATCACAGCCTCTTGATATTTGGCATACAACATTAACACATGGTTCCATACCGTGGGATTTGATTTCAGGTCTGTCGCTCATCCACTTCCTGTTTATCCACTTAGTTAAATTAGTTAAATTTTTCGACATTAATTGTCAATGGTAGGAAATTTTCGTAACAGTTTTCTCAGCAACTACTTATCACAGCCTCTTGATATTTGGCATACAGCATTGACACATGGTCCCATACTGTAGGATTTGATTTTAGGTCTGTCGCTTATCCACTTCCTGTTTATCCACTAAGTTGAATTAGTTAGATTTTTCCACATTAATGGTCAATGGTAGGAAATTTTCGTAACAGTTTTCTCAGCAACTACTTATCACAGCCTCTTGATATTTGGCATGCAGCATTGACACATGGTCCCTGGCCGGGTTGCACTGGTGCAAATCCGGGTTATAGTATGGTGAATGTCGGGCGGCGGGCGGGCGGTCGGGGAAAATATTTTCGTAACAGTTTTCTCAGCAACTACTTATCACAGCCTCTTGGTATTTGGCATACAGCATTGACACATGGTCCCATACCGTGGGATTCGATTTCAGGTCTGTCGCTCATCCACTTCCTATTTATCCACTTAGTTAAATTAGTTAGATTTTTCGACATTAATGGTCAATGGTAGGAAATTTTCGTAACAGTTTTCTCAGCAACTACTTATCACAGCCTCTTGATATTTGGCATACAGCATTGACACATGGTCCCATACTGTGGGATTTGATTTCAGGTCTGTCGCTCATCCACTTCCTGTTTACCTACTGAATTAAATTTTCGACATTAATGGGTC